GTAAAATTAGTTTATGGTCATAAATGATACTACAGATAGTTATACAATGTAAATGTATATTTACTTGTGATATCCCATCATTTTTCAATGATAAAAACAGAAGTATATTCCCTATAAGTTGAGAAATTAACAAATTTTCAATTCATTTCCTCTAAAATCAAAGAATCACTTTAAACCATATGGTACTTCAACATGTCTTTATTATTTATTAATATGGTTAGGAGGCCGGATTGGGTCAAAGTATGAATACACGTTTCTTTACCGTGCTCATATTTTACAAGAAGCAGCTGCAAGGGATCTTTGCCCACCCACACCCACCAAAAAATAAGGGAAAACAATATATTGCACAATACATAATAACAATAATAACACTTTTCACCTGCCTTAATATTAATAATGCCAGAGACAGCAGGTAAAGACAAAGGCCTGTATTATTGAACGCCACCTACCTTCAGGCCAGGATCCAATCAATCAACTTGTTAAGTGCATAGAAAAAACTTTGTCAAATAACTTGAGGAAAAACCTCCTCATCTGTACAAATCACAATAAAGTTGTAAATCAATGGAAATACGACAAAGTTTGTGTTGGAATAGATTTCTTATTTTCATGATAACAGTTATTTATACCGAGCTTAAGGGTAGACCGTTTGATGTCCACAAAAGCAGTAATAATAATATAATACAATATCATTCTTATTTTATATGCACATTTTATGTCCACCAAGCAAGGTGCTCAAGGCTCAAGGACTCGAACCGCAAACCATGTGATCCACAGTCCGATGACGTAAACACTAGACCACAACACCTCAGTAGACTAAGTTATCAGAGTGAACCAACGACCAAAATATGCTTTGCTCTTGATGTAAAGGGTTCCATGTTCCTATTATCTCTTCAAACTATGAGCTTAATATATCACATACCCATAGTGACATTGCACTTTAAATATTCTCTTAGTGAACTGTAAAACGACTTGTTGAGTACACTGGTTGATGCACATGGACGCACTGGCCTAGAGTAAGGGCGCACACTGAACCTAGGTTGTACTTGAGTTTCATACTATACATGCTATTTTATGTTATCCTTTATTTTGTTTATACTCCTTAATGGTTAATGGGGACAAATTCAAGTAATTCAATTATATAATTAAATACAGACCTTACTACTTGTGATTGTTACAAGCAATTACACTAATTTCCTCAGATGATCTACTTGCAAGAGAATTGCAAGGCATTGTCTACCAGGAGAATATATTTATGGTCTTGGTCAGGAGAAACCCCTTAATTGTTAACCTAGAGCGAACCAAGCTAATTCTTTTAATGGTATCTAGCTATAAACAACAAGAATTTTTGTTTGGTGATTGGTATACTTAAAGTCGGGTAATACTCTTTCAAAAATACGGCCAATGGCAGAGTGCAAGCGTAGTTAGGCATGTTCAAGGGATACTGGTAAATGACTAGGATTTGCTCTAGAAAAGTTCTGTTCACTTCACCTGTCGTCAAATTAGAAATTTGTCTGTAGAGGCTTTGAAAATGTCAGCATGTCATTTAATTTGTTAGAATTCATCCTAATAAAGCCTCTAGTTTCCTGAAATGGAGTGACTTTTTGATTTTCAATTTCAATTGTTTACAAAATTCTCTCCATTAAATGAATAACAAATCACAAATGAAATTGAATTTGTCATAGAATTAATTAAAAATAATCTGATTTCTCTTTAATTATTCCATTGCAAAATACCCAACTCCATGAGTAGTGTCAAAACCCCTTATTGTACATCTTGTCAACTAAATATATGCAATTTGACAGCAATGCTGACTGCTCCTTAATCTCTTCATTATATCAGAGTAAGAAGCCTCATGATCGAAACCATAAACTTGTGCATATTTGATTTTTGTAGTTAAAAAGCAATAGTCAAGTTGCATCCCTGGTATTAAACCATTAAGTTGTCAAAAAGAGTTTTGTTAAAGCTTTGTGTCAAGTCTCTTCTTAAATATCCAAAGTTGCAGAACAATATCTTTTCTAGACTAGAATCCCTGATATTATACATTGTAAATGTGTGAGACCATTTTGAGCACAAGCATCATTTTGTTGCTTTATACAAAAATATAGAATTATCTGATTTAGTTCCAACAGTTTGGCAGTGGACAAATAAACATCTTAAGAATATAATCAGGTTTCTTATCGGTGCAGAACACCTTTAGTAGTATTAGCAAGTGTGGGGGAATATATCACTTGCAAATCTAATTTTATACAATAAAATCTAACTCTGTTCAATTGTCATAATTACTGCAATTCTGGACTACCTTAGGAAGTATTTTACTTTGAAGGTCTAGATTTGAATTTCAAATATATCATTAATGATGATATGCAAAGAGAAAACCTACTTTAGTAGCCACCTACCATTAAAGACCAATTAGTAGATTTACTAGTTAATAACTCTATTTGCTACAGGTCAGTTACTTAATTTCCATGTCCATATTTAAATGGAGCTCATCTAAACCAAAATGATACCATAAGGTGATTAATCATTAAAACTATTAATCATGAACTTATAATTTAGTCCAAACCATTTGCTTTCCTTGACTAGAAGCCCTGGCTAGTTACTGAATGAATTCTGAAGTAATTCTACATCAATCCATACCTTCTTAACGTAACCGACTGAATACTTAAACTTGGAATGCGTATTCGATGGAAATCAAATCAAATCGTAATCACATGGGTTAAGAAATAAATTTTATATGTATTTATAAAGAATAATTCTTAACAAGCCGATTTGGGTTTACTGAGTCTCCACTTCCCTTTCATCTATGATTATATTCACATGTATGTATATATTTTGATGTTATTTCAAAGAGAAAGGGAAATAAATGAAAATGGGATGAAAGAAAACACTTCATTTTCTTTTTTTAAATAAATTCACGTTTCTTTTAAACTATGAACCATCCCAACATTTTTTCATGGAATATCTAAACCAATTCATTGAGGGGAATTTTTACATTTTGTAAAAATAGGGGAAACAGGGGAAAGCAGGATGCAGGGAGAGAAAACATTTTGTGGGGTGGAATAATAATCAATCATCAAACAATTAGTCTATCATCTGCTGGGAGCCCTAAGGGCATTAACTCATGTCGCTTTACAGAGGGTTGGTGCCCTTCTAGCTCCAGATGATATATTTATATGATATTGACTGACCTTAAGGGAAATAGTCTATTCATGTATACAATATCTACAAGCCTCAAATATTGAAACATAAACCAAACTCTGCAGTCAAGAGTGAAGATTTACAGGGCTTCTATTGTAGATTTGTGAGATCATTTGAGCATTTTAGAAGCACGGAGCAATGTGCAATAAATGTAGGTGTATGTCCATGAATTTCAAAATGCTTAATATGTCCTCATTCACAATAAAATAATGAAATTCATTTTGCTTTCTGTTACAATTAAAGCACAACTCATCCATGTCACGAGCAGGCGCTTTTTTGCTCAAGTTTTGGAAATGTAGGGGAAAAACATTACAATACATAACATGAATCAATGGGAAACAACAGCTGAGCAATATTTCTTGATGGCTCTACTTACAACTCATTATTCATTGTTCAAACAAAACATAAAGTATATATGATCTGCAACTACCTCTTTCAAAAGGTTGAATTGATTTTTGGGGTACATGTAGGTCTAATGCTACGGTCACAAATTTTTGTACGAACGATAAGTTGTACAAATCTACCTGTTTTTTCTATTGTCATCCCGAATTTCCATTGTCTGAAAATCGTTCGTACGGCGTTCGTAGCAGTTCGTAATGGCATTTGTGACCGAGGCTTTAAATGTACAATGCTGATTATCTTCCAATTATGACTTCTGGATATCATCCAATGCAATCATATTGTCCACTTGGAGCAAGAAGGACATTAACTCTGTGTAATGTAATGCCCTTCTGTCTCCATAACAGACAAAATCAAGAGATCATGACTAGCAAATGATTAAGCAGAAATTGATTTTAAGGATTGGTTCTCGTCTCACCAAAGACTCTGCAAAACTCGACATATTTCAATCGATTTTAAGTGATTTGAAAAGGCGGAAAATGGAAGAAAATTGCTCTAGCTATTGATTCACTGCAACATACAATTACAACATTAATTCACATGTTCTTTTAACAAGCATCGATTGTAGGCCGCTTTTATGTGCATAGGGTTGGGAAATTTCCAATACTAATCACTTCAGTTGCTAACCACCGACGGTGTCAAATTTAAGGAATTCAATCATATGATTTAATACAGACGTTATTACTTTTTAATGTTACAAGCAACTACATTATTGGATACAATTTTACATTAATTTCCCAAGATGATGATCTACTTTTGCAAGAGAATTGAAATTTGCATTGTGTACCAGGAGAATATAGTAATGGTCTTGGTCAGAGGAATGCTGGGAAAACCTTGGAACAGCCTTTTATTGTCCAAACAATACTTCTTTCTGAAGAAAAGACATTAAATTCACTGTTTTTGTACATCACCGGTAATAAAGTAGAAGGGCAGAAATGAACAAGAGAGAATTAAATGAAAGGGGGTGTCCCGGTGTTGACCAGTCGGTTTAGAATTTCACATGTGTACATTACAAAAACATCTGGATTGATGTTTTCCTTTTTAAGCAGGAAAGTTCATTGATGATATGCACAGTTAAGTCTCCATAGGTTAGCGTTGTCAAGCATTAATAAAGATAGACTGATAGACTGTTACGGAAGCATTTATATGTTTAGGTTAAAATGACAGAAAGATTATCACATAACTTGAGGCAGTATTTGTAATGACTTAAAACATAACTCAAAATATATCTCTTTGTATGTTACCTTTCATGACCCGTTAAAATAGAAGGTATTTTTGCAATTAAACAACATTTCACATGATTATTTAATTCTTTTGTAAGATCTACACTCTTACTCCTCTTTGTAAATTTACATGTTCTAATCAGCGTAACTAAAATTAAGATACATTGATGTACTTGTACAGATTGGAGTTCACTGCTTTAGCGTCTACTTCTCGTACATTGATAATATTGCAGCCAGGTTGCCTGGAGTTGAAGGTCAGAGGTGATAGGTCAAAGGTGAATTAGGTGACTAGATGCATAATGTTAGCTGTCCCCGTTGTCATGCCCGCGTGCCTGATGGTGCAACCACACAATCAATGTTGAAGGTTGGAGTAGTCCGTGCAAGGTGCATGTGCCAGGCTACAGTCCATGAGACCGACAGTTGACAAGGCCGATGAGACCGATGGCCCACAAGACTGCTGGCCCCCGAGAAAGACTGCTCATGAGACCATGAACCCTACATTTACATTACAGTACGAGACCGGCAGTGATGTTCTATCAGCCTTCCTGACAACTTTTCCAATGATTCATATAAAGACTAACATCATCAGTCACATTGGTTGTTGGTCTCATGGGCCGTCAGTCTCGGCTATTGGTCTCATGGACTATCGGCCCACTGGAATGTCCCGAGGTGCGGAGTGTGTGGTCCCTGGTAGTTACTATCTGGACGGATAGTTACCTGCTACGCTCTGTGACATGTGGAGGGGTGTCAGCATCTCTTCGAAGGTGGCATTCTTCACGTTGGCACCACGCAGGTTGGCGTCCTGAAGGTCACAGCCCGTCAGGTTACAGTTCTGCAGGAGAGACGATGAGAGAGAAAGAGAGAAAGAAAGAAAAGGAAGAAAGAGGAGAGAAGAGCAGGTTAGCAAAAGTATCGACCAATCCTTTAGTTACAATGTCATTTCAACATCAAAATATAAACAAGATAGGATATGAGAAGAACAAACAGACCACCTCACTGCCTGAATATGCAGGGTTAATTTTAAAATTATAGAGAGGGAGGGGCTGTAGCCTCTCTCACATTTAACAACTATGAATGTACGCACTGATCTGCTTATTTACTACAAAAAAATGTGAAAGCAGTATCTCTTGTTGTCACAACATATTTTTAAAGCTGTTTATTGCCTCAGAATTTAGAGGAGGCATTTAGAAGTTAATTAATAAAATATTGAGTTTCTTTATTTGGACACATCACACAGCTTTTGATTCAAGGAAGGGGGAGAATGGTATGATAGTGGATGTTGATAAATTTTCCCATTCTAATAATTTTGCTAGCAAGTTTGACAATTTGATGATCTCATTTGCCATTTTCTGCAAATTTACCACCCTATGGACATCTGTTTGTTTTGCTTGTTAAAATTGTTTGCCAAAACTGCCAATAAAGTCGATCTTAAAGAACAACCCCACCCATCTCCCGACATTATGCTCAAGTCATGTAAGTTTGTCACTGCAGTTTTGTCGTTGTTAAGGCAATTTACTGCATTGGGTGTACTAACCAGGTATTAAATGATGATCAACTTACCTCCAAATCTGTTCCTGCTAATATAGCCCATCGTAGATTGGAGTTCTGGAGGTTGGCATTTTTAAGAGTTGCGACCCTTAGGTTGACCCCTGCCATCTGACTATTCTCAAGATTCACACCTTTCATATTCACCCCTACAATGGAAAAAATAGCAATTTGTAAGTAATAAATAATCTGACTTTAGGTTTAAGTGGAAATCCACCCTAATATTAAGTTTATGTAACTTCTGTACCGAGCAAATTGGAGAGGACCTCCAGACCTGCCAACCTCTGGAGTTCAAAAACTGTATTCTTTAATCTGAAAAGTTGTATTTTACTGACAAAAGTTGTATTCTTAAAAATAAACACGGACTGTTACGCGGATCAATGCCTCGTACAGTTCCTACATACAGGAAGAATTTTTTTAAAGGATCACTGGTTGAATATGCATGATTTCGTCACGACTGGTGTGTTCGATGAACCAATAAACATTCCCAAATTGCCTATGTGAGATGCTTGTAGGATACTTTACAGGACAGAATTAGCATTTTACCATTGAAAATGGCACACACACACACAAAATACTATTAAAAAAAATTATTTAAAAAAAATGTTTAAAAAAAAAAAAAAAAAAAAAAAAATGAAAATCGTACAGTCGTATTTGCTTCTAAAAATCGTACGAAATACGACCAAATCATACTGGTTGGCAGGTCTGGACCTCACAAGGAAAAAAGGTTTCATTGTCTTCAGCTAAAAGGTGTGAAAAGAAGTCCAATATATAATCTTGAATCCCACAAACTGCAAACATATGCCTTTTGCACTTTTCGTTGTCACATCTTTTAAACACTAAAAATCAACCAACACACACACCCACATACACACACACACACACACGTGCCACTGTAATACAATTAAAGCAGAGCAAGTAAACTCATTGACACTGTGGATGTATTATGATATCACAGAACTAGAGATATATTGTGATATCACAGAACTAGAGGTTTTGCATGAACACACCCACATACACACCCACACACGAGTGCCACTGTAAACAATTATAGCAGAGCAAGTTTCATTGACACTGTGTATGTATTATGATATCACAGAACTAGAGGTTTTGCATGACCCCCTCCCCCTTCCTCCTCCCCCCCCCCCCCCCCCCCTCCACCAGGTTTGTCACAAGATGATTTATTTGATGTATACACGACTTCTTTTTAGTACCTGTTCTGCAATTATTTATGAAATATGACAACATTTGAGCATGACAAGGGCATTTGCAATTATGCCAAATTATCTTGATCACAATCAGCAACGGAATACATAAGGTTTCCCCTGGGACAACTGATCTAGTTTCCTAACAATTTAACCTAGTTCCCAGTTGTCATAAAAACATCACACATCATGAATTAACCAATGGGACCATTAAAAACTCCTTGAGGATACAAAACGAAGCAGAATCATGAGCAATTTGAGAGATCTGTTGTGTCGATTTGGCAGAGAGTCACACTTCTGCATGTTGACATGATGCAAACACACACCTACGGTATTTAAAGATGGAGACGTGAAGCTGTAGAATAGCGAGGATTACTTTTTAACCCTTAGACTCCCAGACTTAGTACTTCCCACAGGCTAAACACAGGGACCGTCTGCTTCCCACATGCAATGGGTGAACCTTATGAATACTTCAAACTTTATGTATACTTTAAAAACTTGTAACTTTATATATGATTCAAGCCCGAGGTGGATAATTGAGGAAGCATCCCTGGTGATCACTTCTCCAGACAAAATTCAAGTTTTTCTAATCATCGGCAGAGAGCCAGAAAGACATTTTCTCATATCATACACTTGAACACAGAGTTAATGTCCTTCTAGGTCTAAAGAGACAACATAGTCTACTGAGAAAATGAAAAGAAAGTTGAATTGCAAAATTTGTCTCTTTCTACTTTACACTATGAACATGACTGACAAAGAAAAGCGGATAAAATACACAGTTCCTCAGGTAGATAAAGGATCATCCCGTCACTGCTATTATGTAAAAATGTGTAGAACAGGTGTCACATGCATAATAATAATAATAATAATAATAGCTCGTTCTTATATAGCGCTTTTTAGGACCGGAGGCCCTCACAAAGCACTTTACAGATAAGTATATTATTACCCCGGTCATTGGACTCAGGAGTGAAGGGATGTTCCTTTGTCTACCTGAGGAACTGTATATTTTGTCTGCTTTCTTTGTCCATCATGTTCATAGTGTTGACTCTTCCCTTATTTTCTGATTTGACTTGCATTTTGAAAAAATTGTTTGTGAAGAGTCAGAAGAGCATTAAAATATATACTTTGACAAAGAGTAAATGTCCGGATGATTCTCAAGAGAGTGTGTTTTGTTTTTGTGAAAAAAGAAGGCTGAATTGTAAATTTGTTTCATCCTATCCTAACCTTTCCCTAATTGTCTGATTTGTGATTCAGTTGTTAAAAATTGTCTGCCACGAGACAGACAAGCAATTTCATGTACTTAAAGGCATTGTTTAAAGAGAAAGTTGAGTTCTGGGAAGAGGTGAACAATAATTTGTGAGCATTACTCATTCTTATTATGCAAGTGTGGAAGAACATCAGTTAAGACATGTTCCCTGAAAAGCATGGCTCTTCAAATGCCTTCATATTCTAAATATGCATGTAACATCGTAAATATCGGGGGGGGGGGTGGCTTTTTACGCCACGTGTTCGTGTAGTCCCTTATACATCTTTCTGTGCAAGTGTTTGTAACTTTACCAAGACTTGGCCAATTTTCTTATCATTTTGATGATTCCAGAACCTTGCAATACACACAAATTCTTATATGCTAGATGATCAACCTTTTCTGGTCGGTTCCACACCGTTTCTTTCACAATGCAATCGCATGACCAGAACTCAACTTCATCTTTAACAATGCCAAATCTGAGATGCATGGCCCTACGTGTAATCAGCGTCTGTGATATGGTGTAATATTGAAGCCCTAAAAAATTGCGCTTCAAAATGATCATGAAGTGCCTCACAAAGTAAAAATCGTTGGGTGACCGGTTTTAAGACCATAGTCATTTTCCCCAATAGAATGTATTGTTATAAAACCGTTGGGGAAAAAGGTTTTTGAAATTTCTAATTCCAATCATAAATATCTTGATAATCACACAGGAAATCGGCTTGTTAACGTCATTGGATTCCTGACTGACCTAAAGGTTTATAAATTTGCAATTCAGCCTTCTTTTTTCAAGAGAGCAACATATTCTCTTGAAGCCATACTCTTTGTCAAAGTATATAAACGCTCTTCAAGCTCTTCACCAACAATTTTTTTTAATGTAACTCAAATCAGAAATAAGGGAAAAGTAAGGGATTCCTGCCTGACCTAAAGGTTTATAATTACGATTGCAGCATGAGCTAAATCCAGGATTTTTTTTAGAATTTGAGACAAATATATCCAATCCCTTTAAACACTGACACTTTGAAAAGACGATATGGTCTCAAAGAAGCGTAAATTGCAAAATTATTTCTTCCTGCCTCAACTTAATTTCTCTATGCTTCACTACAATAACTTTTTGGTTGCAAGTCAAAAGAATGAGGATAGTACCTCATCTATATGCAGATATGGCTGAAATGATTTCCAAAACTCATTATAGAGGGTAACATTGTTCAGAACTCCTTGGAAATAGACTCAGTAATCTGTGGTTTTGCAGAGGTTTCTTAAAGGAAATAAAATACTGAAATAGAAGACTTAATTTCTTTACAGAAAATGAAGTTTTTTGGTTGAAAGTCATATATGCATATTAAAAGACTGATTCAACTTACAAAACTAATTACAGAGGATAAAATTCATGATTGATGTTTAAGGTATCCATTAAAACAATCTGAAGTTTGATAAAATTTTGAAGAAAATAACATTTCAAAAACGTCCAGTAGACTTAAGTTTTTTAGAACCTACAGAGCTTGCTTTTACTGATTAAAAATGTATGTTGATTGCAATAGGGCATTGATTCATCTTTATGCATATAAATCTGATAGGCACGTTGAGCATCCATTGGGGGTGGATATGTGCGCATTATAAATACTGTTATTATTATTATAATTATTATAATTATGACTTCCTAAACTAATTATGAAGAGAATGAAATTCATCCTTGATAATAGTCAACGTAAATAAAAGAGGGATTGTTTCTGGAGTGAGATAACACACAGATAAGGATGTTTTTGTTAAGTTTTCTTTGTTTTAACAAAGAAAATAGAAGGAGCAAGAAAGAATATTTCTATAGAATGCATGTACTGTAAGTATTTTCAGCTCCAACATTGGTTCTTAAATCTTTCAATAAATATTAATATGGAGAGCCCAAGAGCATGTCTGCATCAGGATTACAGTGCCTTTTGGGGGACTAAATAAAGGATTTAGTTTAAGAGGACAACCCTGAAATTTGTCTGAAACTCTCGGCATCTCAAATCCTCCTCGCATCTGGTTTCCTTGAAGGTACAGTTAAACATGTTGCAATGATTCCCCCCCCCCCCTCCAAAAAAATGTTAACGCCATAGACAGGAAATTAACAGAACAAAGGATGCAACAACAAGAAGTGCTTAAAATTTCTCCATTCTATGTGGAATTTGAAGAAAGAAAAAAAAATATTACAAATAAAAATGTTAACATGTTACACATTAATGGCAACATGAACAGTTAGCTATGTGTCTGGGATTATTATAAATCTGTCAAATTGCACTTTAAATTCTGTGTCGAAAAAAACCTTGCGCTGACACCATTAAGAATACATTAAATAACCTGACTGTGTTCATATATTATGTTGATCCATTGAGAATACACCAAATAACCTGCTGTGTTTATATCTTACGCCGACACCATTGAAAATATACCAAATAACCTGACTGTGTTCATATCTTACGCTGATACCAGTGAGAATACACCAAATAACCTGACTGCGTTTATATCTTACGCTGACACCATTGAGAATACACCAAATCACCTGACTGCTTTCATATCTTAGGCTGATACCATTGAGAATACACCAAATCACCTGACTGCGTTCATATCTTAGGCTGATACCATTGAGAATACACCAAATAACCTGACTGTGTTCATATCTTACGCTGATACCATTGCAAAATACACCAAATAACCTGACTGT